GGGGGGGGGACTGTTCCAAGTTCGAAGTCAAGGAAATGTTCCAAGATGCACGCCCGGCATTATGGCTCTCATGTCAATGCTACTCCCAACAAGTCCCCCACCTGGAGAGCAACTGCGAAGCAGATTGAATGCTGATTGTTTCATTCATACAATGCAAAAACTGCTGAACATCAGTGGCACTCCTATGGTTGGAGGCGCCTTCCAACAGCGTCCCCGGGCCAATCGTCAATGACATCATCCGAGCCCACCAAACTGCGACTCACCCACACGCGCATGCACTTGCACACACAGCGTCCAAACTCAACGAGTAAGCACGGGGCATACATACATGCAAGATCGCTTGACCACAAACATATCCAGAGAACACAGCAAACAAAGTCTGATTCTGAATCTTTACCAAAAACGTCAACGGGACAACGGACTGGATTTCCGCAGAAAAGTCCAGAGTATTTGCACAGCACAAAACAAAAACAATGCTGCAAACAGTGCAAAGGTAACGGCTCCCCAAACAAAACACTCGCAGATAAAGAAAAAAAAGAAAAGGTACGGTGGCTAGCTTCCCCGCCCGGGCGCCCGAGGCACCCGAGCCAGCCCGGAATGGCGCTCGGGGCGCTCGGCCGTGCACCCCCCCCGGCCAGGCACCCGGGCCCCCTCAGCGCCGTACCGAAAACGGCGGCAATTTTTTTTTTTCGCGCCGCCGCCCATTGGCCCACAGGCCAAAAAAAATTTTGGCGGCCGGTGCGCTATTTTTTGGGGCCCGGTAGGCCCCTTTTTCGAAGGTTTTTTTTTTCACTCCCGGCCGTCGATCGTCGGCGATCGACGGCGATCGTGGCTCCCAGGATTCAAATTCGAATCCTGGGCCAATCTGCCCCCCGCCCTGTGCCCCTCCGCCCTCCGCCCTCCGCCCTCCGCCCTCCACCCTCCTGCCCTCCGCCAGGCGCCAGTGACGACGCCACCCTCCCGTGACGACGCCGCCCTCCCGCCGTGCCGTCGTCGCCGTCATGCTGCCGCCGTCGTTGTCGCCCCGCTGCCCGGCCATCGTCGACCCCCCGCTGCCGCGTCCTCGTCGTCCTCCAGCTGCCACGCCATCGTCATCATCCGCCTTGACTTACCATAAATAAAATAAAATAAAGGTCCCCCGCCGGCTTCCTCGAGTGCTGCCGCGCGCCATCTTCACGAAGGGTCGAACTTCGAGGTAAGTTACTAAGTTTGCGTTTTTATTTTTCTTCTTCTTCTTCTTCTTCTTCTTCTTCTTATTATTATTATTATTATTATTATTATATTATTATTATTATTATTATTATTATTATTTCTTCTTCTTCTTCTTCTTCTTCTTCTTCTTCTTCTTCTTCTTCTTCTTTGTTTCTTCTTCTTCTTCTTCCCGTCGACTTCCGTTTTTTTTTTCTCATCTTGTTCTTCTTCTTCTTCTTCATTTCTTCTGCTTCTTCTTCTTCTTCTTCCTCGTTTCTTCTATTTCGTTTCTTTTTGGTTTTTGTTTTTGTTTCTTCTTTTCCTTCTTCTTCTTCTTCTTCTTCTTCTTCTTCTTCTTCTTCTTCTTCTTCTTCTTCATTTGGAGAGGCCCAGGCCCACGCGTGGGGAAGGTTCTGGACCACGTGGAGAGTTCTTCTTCACTGGTGGCATCGCTTCTGCTTCGTCTTTTTCTTTTTCGATTCTTCTTCTCTTTTTTTTGCTTCTTCTTCTTCTTCTTCTTCTTCTTCTTCTTCTTCTTCTTCTTCTTCTTCTTCTTTTTCTTCTTCACTGGTGGCCATCGCCTCTCTCTTTTCTCCAACGGCGGCCATCACCTCCCCCCTCCTCCACTCTTCGTCACGCCGGCCCTCCCTCTTCCGCCGTACCCCCCCCACCAACTCTCTATCATCAGCCGCCATAGCCTCCCTCCCTCCTCCTCCGCCATAGCCTTCCTTCTCCCTCCTCCCTCCTCTCACGCAGCGCACCCCCTCCTCCGCCATAGCCTT